TCTGAGCTGATGCTGCTGATGCTGCGGCTGCTGAACTTGATGCTGCTGATCCTGAAGCTGCTGATCCTGATGAACCTGAACCAGAATATCCTGAACCTGATGAACCAGATCCTTGTCCTGATGAACCTGAGTCAGATGATCCTGAACCTGAAGCTGCTCCTGATGAAGCTGCTGCTGATGATCCTGGCGATCCAGAGCCTTGTCCTGATGCTGATTCAGATGATCCGGAAGCTGATGCTGATGATGATGATTGCGATCCAGATTTGGAGTTTGGGCTTCCAGTATTCCCTATTTTTTTCAGTATATCACCCATGCCAATTTTCATGGTTGGTAGTTTAAATAAACTATTAGCATTGGTTTGCTGTACTGCTGTAAATGCAGTAATAACTAGGCACAAAAGCAAAAGTTTTGAATTCATTTTGTAGTTTTGTTCGAATTAATCGATTGATATCTTTCTTCAATTTACTTGCACTTTTATACCCACAAAAACTATTTGTTATTCACTTTTCAGCAGACATTTACTCAAGCTACACAAACATTTAAGACTTTGGCAACAATGTTTTTGTATTCTAATTTAAATCATCAAATGGTATGCCAGGGGGTGATCAAAAGGTCAGGGGCTTGAAAACATATGGTTTCAAACGGGAATATCAGTGTTTTTGTTTATTCAGCATAAATAACTCAAATTTAATAGCAATCTGGAATAATTAAGTGTACCGTTTTGACAAACAACCCATTCAGATTCCGTTTCCGAAATCCTTGGAATCAGCATTAACAAATTCGTTTTTTATCTTCGTGTCACATCAGAACCTTTTTCTGTATATGGTTTCGTGTCATTTATATTATAATACTTTTTTAATTTACAAAGCTATACAAATATAGCGATGTGATGAGTTAATGAGACTACTTTTTATGTTAACAATTTTCATGAATAAAAGGAAAACAAAACTAAAGCAATGAATAAAAACTCATTTATTTACACTACACTACAGCAGTTCGATAAGGTGGAAGGTTAAGATTTTAAGGTTATTCCTTTTTCAAATCAGGGAAAGTATTGTGTTCCCATTATCTATTCAATAGCTACTACGGTTAAGTACCTTTCGCTCCGTCCATCTCATATCGATGGAAATAACCTTGGAATTCAACTGAAAAAATTAAATAATCGATTCTCATGCTTGCTTTTAATTTTCTTGATTAAATTCAACTTGTAACTATGCTCTGAGTAAGTTAGACCATGGATCATACTTTTGAGTTTTGTTTTCAATAAATGTCTAGAAATAAGTCTTGCTCCTACATCTGTATCAAAATCCAAACCTAGTCTCGACCATTATTATTCACTCATTAACAAAGTACATTTTTACTGACAAAAGATATTCAAAAAATTCAGTCAGACAGATATTGTTCAGTTGACAAAATTTACTTGGATCAAATTCAAAAATGGTTACATTTTATATTGTTACAGGATTTCATGTATATTCAATTATGGCATATTTTTATATTTTATACAACATTTGACTTCATTCAAAATGGATTGACTTTGACAACGATCATAATTGGATCAACAGATTACTTTTTTCTTGGATAATTTAGTGTTTTTCTCTGTAAATTTTGTTCATAAAATAAATGACAATATAATCAGCAAAATTTTCTTTGGCATATCAATTCTGATGACTTTAGATGCTATTGAGCTGGATTTTTTTTCGGGACATATAACAATATAACAGTAACAAAATCAATTAATTTAATTGATGCAAGTTTTCATTTCCACTTTACTCTTTGATATCCTCTTGGCTCTGTAAGCATCTAGAATAAATTAATATCTTCTCAGGAAAAAATAGAATTGAACACTTTTATCCCATCTTTCCGTCAACAGTTAACTTAAATTGTATTTTGTGGGTTTGTAGAGTTATATACAGTAGAAAAAAGAAACTCAATGTTCTACAAAATTGAAATTGGCAACTCTTTTGCAGACCAACCATAAGAATGGACCCAAGGTTTGGTCGGATTTCGATGATAGGTGAATATTGTTGGCTTTTCCTTCAAGAGTACTCTTTCTTAATTATCCTTCTTCTTCTTAGGCCAACCTCTTCGTAAACTGTTCCAAGATCAAAGCATTCACATAAAAATGATTCAATGGTACGATAAAGATGACGGTGGACTTGTGGAAGCTCATGGTTTTGATCAGGATAAATCATACTGTGAAACATGATTGAATTACGCTGCAAGGCTCTCATAAGAAGCATTGATTGTTGGAGATGAACATTGTCTATGAAAGAAAAAGAAGTAAATTGAAGAAACAAATTAGTAAAAGTTTGCTGCTCTTTTCTAGCTTTTGCATTACTCACCATCAGCCGTTCCATGGACTAGAAGATAATTTTTCCCCTTCAAATTATCAATTTTGGATATGAGATCTGATTTTGTGTAACCAATAAGATTGTCTTTTTCAATTGGTAATCCCATGTATCTTTCAGTGTACGTTGAGTCTAGACAAATGAATAAATCAAATAAAAAACATGTTAAAAGTTGTAACGAAGGAATAATTTACAGTTAAGATCACATAAGATCTCACACAACGTCAGAGAATAAGTGTTGAAGCAAACATTACGATTGCTTGATGAATTGACTTTATTTACATAAATTTATGTAAATTAACTAATTAACTCACCATAATAATACCAACTAGTGACAGGAGCAACGGCAATACCGCAAGAAAATACTGGCTCCTGATGCTCAGGACCAATAGGTTCAGAAGCTAATGCCATGGTGGTTGCATAACCTCCATAAGACCAGCCCCATATGCCGACTTTTTTAGCATCAATAAATGGAAATTGGTTGACTAAATATCTGTAAATTAATAAACAAAAAATGTATTTATTAATCAAAGCCAATTCAAACTGAGCAACAGTTGAAACAACATCAAAACAAACACATCAGTAGTGTCGACACCTGGTGTAAAACAAGGAAAATGAAGAAAACATTTTACCTAAAGTCAACCAGATGGCAGTCAAATCATTCAAATAGAGACTAAAATTATTGAATCAATTTCAATGAAAACATCATGCAATGTTTAACAACTAAGGTCGAGACATATTTATTCAGAATTTTCTCCAATAACTAAATGTCCGAAATTTTTTATATTAAAGCTTATAAACATCAAGTCAACAGTAGTAAAAGCTGCCATAAAAAGCTGCCTATTCATAAATAGTTCAATCTAAGCAAATCCTAATCTCAAACTTTCATCAAGATCCAGACTGAAGCACGATTCAAATAAGTTTCAAGCCCATATAAATCAGTCTCGATAATTTGCAGTCTTTGATCTCAACTTGAACCAAAGTAGCTTTAAATATGCAGTTCTTGTTTGAAAATCTGTTCTAACAGCCAGAGCAGTTATGGTCTGCGGTAAGATCTGACGAGAAATGTATGATCTGCAATTTGGATTTTCTAGGATTCCCAAAAGTTTATTGGACCTAATCGCATTTTAGAAGCGTCAAGATTTAACTACGATTATACTGAAGTTTCTTTTTAGTTTCAAAATGAATTTTTCGACACTGAACATTCGATGAACAATTTTTCGTGCGTATTATCTTTTCCGATAACCTACCTTGTAACAGCAATTTGATCATCAATCTCGACAGTACCCAAACGCCTGTAAACTTCATACATAAGGTTAACTCCATTGTTTCCACTTCCTCTGCCATCAATCATTCCATAGATGATTCGTCGCCGGGAAGCAAGATAATGACCCCAGCCAATATCAAACCTACTGGTAACCTGTTGTGTCCCTGGACCTCCATAGACATTGATCAACAAGGGATACTTTGTAATTTCATCTTCACGTAATCCAGGAGGAAGCAACAGTTTAACACTGGCATCTGGTTCATGATGGTGAGTCAAAATCAATTCAAGGTGCAAGTGAGGGTGGCATGAATGAAAAGTAAAAATAAAATCAATTAGAAATGACAATGATAACCAGATAGAAAAAAAATTCAGTCAATTAAGTGATTGATACAATTGAAATGAAATGAGGCACAAAAATAGCGATTACAAAATGATTGTATGAAATGCTGTCAAAGTGTCAATTCAATTGATGCAAGTTTGAAAAAAGAGATTTTCTCCCTTTTCCAGAGTGAAGACAGAAAAATTGCTCAAGTTGAAGTGAAAGCAAGTCATCATCATGATGAGAAGAAGAAAAAAGGTTTGAAAATTGATTCCGACAAAGCAAGTGATGAACTTGAATGAAAAACTGTTATCATTTATGTGAGCCTTTTTTGCACAACGGAAGAGCTCAAGGCAATTGATGGTTTTCACTTTGAATCATTTATGTTTTACCATTTCTTGTTGCACTAATTTGACAGGTAAGGGTTTGAAAATTAATTATCATGAAAAAGGTATAAGAAAGGGAAATCTGTAAAGTAAAGAGAAAGAAGAGAAAGAAGAAAAAACTGGGCAAACTTAACCAGGAAGGAGCCATACGGACTGAGATTCAGATGAAAAGCAATGATAAGGTTAAAGTAAAAATGAAAGTAGGAAGAAGATGATGACATTGAAAGAGTCTGACGAAGAAGAAGAAGAAAAAGCTGAAATGGAATTGACGAAAAAAGAAGAAAATGTAAAAGTTTTCATTTGTAAGAATAATGTGATCAAAGGAGAAGCGAGCAAAAAAAGTCATGATGAAATGGCCCGAGGTTGAATTGATTGATTGAACCCGAATTGAAAGTGAATCAAGAAAAAAATAGAAATGAAGAGAAGCGGTGAGCTCATGAAAAATATATTGAACAGTAATGAAGATGAAGGTAGATACAAAATGGATAAACAAGAGATGAACGATTATCAATGAAAATTGTTACTTACTGTAACCTCCTTCAATAGGAACTTGAAGTGACTTCACCTTTGGCAGTAAAAGCTCGTCAACCTTTTCTCGTAGGGCATCATTGGTTTGCAGAGTGGTCACTGTATGAGATGAAGGGATGAAAATGAATATGGTAAATAGAGAATGTCATTAATTGCAATTTTCAATATCAACAAACTGTTCTTGCATTTAATGGAAACATGGGAATAGCAACTCGATCAAGATCGCTGATGAATAATTGGCTAATTATTTTGGATAAACCTTTTTATTCCAACCTTTTTTTTACCTTAAAGCAACTTGGTTGATAAAGTTGGTTAAATGACGTTCATTTGTGATCCCAATGGAAATGCGAACAACTGACAACTTTACCAAATTGAACTTTTTGCATTTCGTTTGAGCTTTTTGTTTTGCCACTGAATATTTGTCTTTTGTCAACTTTAATTAATTGATTGCTTGTGTGCATTGTCAAATGAATACAAATTGGTTAAAATTAATCAGCAAGGAAAAGATGAAAAATGAAAAAAAAATATTCAAATTTCTTGTTCTCTTTCGTTGCAACGAACTCAATCAAAATTTGAAGCTACGATGATGAATTAGTTTCTTTTAAGCTTCTTTTTTCTTTTCTTTTTTTATCAATTCTCAGAATCATTTTGATCATGGAAAACATGTTTTCAAGTTAATCATTTTCGATTATAACCTTCATTTATCTGTTTAGACTTTTCTCAATTTGATGAGAAAAGTCTTCGGAAAAATTCGATATTCAAACAAAACTAATTTCTTTTTGTTTCATCTGCAAACTGTAATGACAATCTGAGTAGATAAAAGTTGCTAAATGTTGAATGAAAAGGAGTAAATGTGGAAAAATTTCATTACGAAAAAAACATTTTCATGAGTTTGTCGAAAACTATTAAATCTTTTTGTTTTTATATTACAACTTTTATCATCCTTTTCTTGATCTTTTCAGCTTCATTTATCTCGTTTTGCCAACCCTTTTCAACTGTAAAATGATAAACTGTGAGAAAACGCCCAAAAATATGATAAACTGAACAAGATAAATAATCCTCTTGACATGGGTTTCTAAGCACATGGAATAAAGTTATAGATGTAACCAAAAAAGCAATAAAAATGTGCTCAAAAGCGCATTTCAAGATTGACAAAGATAATCATAATAATAATATGAAAAAAAGTACAATATCAAAGTAACTTTATCTCTTTTCGTTTTTTTTGCCTCATCGTTTAGATGTTGGTCTGTTATTTACTGGCAATGTTTACTTTGCTTGCTTAGATGAGCAAAATGTTAACCTTAATCATGTCATTATGGCTTTGAACATTGAGAGACAATATTGCAATCAACTTGATCACTTGTGTGCAAAAATAAGTACAATAATAATAACAAGGTAAGAAAAGAAAATCTCAAGGTAATGATCAAGATGATGATGAAAAGGGAATAAAAGCTGAACAGAGAACAAGAAAATTAGCAAATTTTTGCATTCACTCGAGGCTGAAAAGGAACGAAAATTATTACGAAATGTTGAAAATGAACATTATTCGCAAATGAATTCTAAGCAGGAAAAGCTCAACACTTTTACCCAGAAGTTTTGAGCTTTTTTTACCTTTTGCTGTCTTGAACAAAATGTGTTAATTCGCTAATTAAAAACAAGAACAATTATCAAAGAATTCAATGAATCAGAGACTCGAAGGAAAAATAACTTAGAATAGACGAATTCTTTACTTTTCAATTTTCGAAAAACAGAACTTTTTTAGCAAGAAAACAAATTATCAATCAGATGAACCTACGAATTTTTATTTGGATTATGGTTTTCCCCTTTCTTAGAAGCGACAATTTTTTAATGAAACCAACTTCGATTCTGAAGTTCTGATGAAAATTTTCAAAAAATTGAAATGCTTCAATCGAAAAACATGAAAATTTCAATTTTTGTCTATTGAAAGCGAACAGAAATTTTCCTGAAAATTGTCATTTTCTTGGTTCGACAGCTTTCATTAGTGTAAGTATAAAGTCTATTCAAACCACTAAAAGATTTACAACATGATTAACTAAAGTCTATGCTTTCAGCTTAAATCTCGAAATTAAAGTTCTAATGACGACCTTTGGGAGTTTATCCTTATTTATAATGGTGTAAAGCAATTGGATGACAATTGTCATCTTTTATTTTCTTTTGTCTTTTCCCTTAATTCCCATTCACAATGATTATCGAATTTGTTTCCCTAAATGAATGGCTCATGGATTCCATCATGCAAGTTGCAGAGAGAGAGAGAGAGAGAATAAGAGAGAATAAAACTTTACCTAATTCATTGGTTTCACTAATCCGTATTTCTGTTCGAGGTATTCCTGGTCCAAGGCAAGAAACAATAAATGCTGATGCATCGTCATTAAAAAAGGCTCTCGAGTAAAGGCAATCTTGAAGCCCATCACAGGTAAGACAGTTGACCTCGCGTGAAGTAATGTTCATCTTGAATAAATGACTTTCACCGGGTTTACCAGGTAAAGTTGCTTGATAATATCTGCAAGAGGAAAAGATTTTTAAATTTTGATCGATAATTTTTTTCTTCTCATTACTTACAAAATTTTATCATGATATTTAACGATATTTGTTACTTCAAACAAACCCTTCGTTAGTAAAGTCTCATTAGCTAACCAAGGAGTAGACTGTTGGAACTGAATTTTCAATCATCAAGTTTCCATGTTATCCAATGTCAGCCAAAATTCATTTCCATTGAACGTTGAACCAAGAGGATAAAGAAAAAGAAAAGAAAAGTTGAGAAACAATTTTTTTCTTCCGAAAATTGATTCCAAATGTTTTCACATGAACTTGCAAACCAATGCAAGTATTAACTTTTCATTATTTACTCAATTGTGAATATTTAGTGAGAAACAAAATTGCAATGAAAATAATGATAATTCAATTAAAGGGTGGAACAAAAGTAGAGCCACAAACTTTGAGACTTAATAATTAAATAATGAAAACAGGCAATTCGATGGATTTTTATAAAATGATATTGCTGAAATCAAGCTACAAGTTGGTTATCTAATTATTGAAAATGGCCCAGCTCTCGATGCTTTACGTAATTTTTTCTTCAAGTCGACCAAAAGATTTTTGCCGGAGCTCTCGGTAAATTTTTTCGATATATTAGTCCATATTTTGGTGAAATCACACATTTGTCTAGGAGTGTTGACCTTTGCGAATACTCGGCATAACATAAAGCCCAAAATTCCTCAATTGAGCGAGCTTGGGGGTGGTTGGGAGGGTTAGAACGCTCGGTCAACACAATCGATTTTTTTCACTTTTCTATGGCAATTGGCAGACTTGATTAAAAAGGAGTTCGTTAGATTTCCGTTTACTAGCTATGGTTTAAATAAAAATGTGCAAATTTAGTATCAAATGAAAGCCAAGAATCTAAGCAGTTTAGTTCAATCTCTTTAAAAATTCAAACTGACCTCTAATATGAGATAAACCGATCAAAAATTTGTGACCCTACTTTTGTTCCACCCTTTAACTTGAAATATGTTTACTCGAACTGGTTCAAGTGAATGAAAAGATTTTGCTTCAATCGATTACTTTTGCTTTTCTTTAGTTTACAAGCTCATTTGATTCCAAGTGTTTACCAAGTGTTGAACAATCTCAACAATTGAGAGAAAAGAATCGATTCAAGAATTTCTTATCAACCAATTCGGCCAAAAGTGAGACTCGTTGTGAAAGCTAACAAGGGAATGAGATTGAGAGAAAAGACAATTTTCTTTGCATTTTAAACTCTATTTTCACTTGTCATTAACCTTTTCCTCTTTATTGACCTTTTCATCGCCTTCTATCAACCTTTATTCAATCTTCATTTCCAAACTCAATTTCAAACCTTTTGCCCATTTCGTTGATTGGATTGTTTCGAAATGAACTTTTGCCTTCATTACCTTTCAAGCAACTCTTCTTCATCAACCTTCTGATAACTAATCAAGATGACCAAACACTTGCAATATTTTTTCTCTCTGACTGTCGAAAGAAGAAAGAGGAAAAGAAACAAAATCAAGGCTCAACTTTTTTTATTGCAATTCTGAGGATGAAAATGAAAAATGTGAAAAAAAGAGTAAAAAATATTTTTCTTTTTATCAAACTTTATCCTTCCTCACTCTCACTTATCATTATTTCTCAAAATTCAACCTCAAACTTGAAAGGTTAAACTACTTTTTCATTTGCTTCTTTTTATTAATAAATGATTATTTTTATCAAGAATTCTGTCTGAGTTAAATTGTTAATCATTTACAGCTCAAAACTCTGTGATCACTTGAAGTTCAATAAAACAGTTATCCGGAAGAGCTTTTAGAAGTTTCACAAAAAAAGGTTGAATTTCTCTTTTCCATTTCTAGTTGACTGATAAAAGGGTCAAAAAGTGAACACTAGTTTCACATTACTTTCCCTTTGATGTTGAACCCTAATTCCACCAAAATCACCTCATTCATCAAGTTTACAACAATTTTTCCTTTTTCATTTCGCAAATGTATTCTTTGTCAAACTCATCTCACTAGCTTGAAACTGGCCGTTAAACTCATCTCAACATGATAAAACTTAGCATTAGAAAAGTTGTACTCTTGAAGTGCTGACGTGCTAAACGTGACAAAGTATTAGCATGTCAAACTTGCATTTTGAAAACATTTGGAAGATAATATTGAAACGGGATTCCTTTTTTACTTTCTACTTACATTAAGCAAAGAAAATTGACTTATATGATGATAAACGTGTCGTGGACTATCTTGTTGTCTGTGAGTTATCAAGAATAAATTTTGTCCAGATTCGTCAAACACTGGAGGCTTCAACTCAGTCCATCCAGTGCCTCTGCTATCAACAGTCAAAACCTGTAGAAATCAAATCATTTTAAATGAATAAAAAGTCGAGACCAAAAATTTACGAAAACCTACAGTTTCACAAGTCCATTTGATTCGATTAGCACAAACGGTAACATAAGATAAATCTTGTTCTCTTTTGGAATAGATGCAGCTCAGGAATGTGCCATTAATCCAAGTTATACTATTGACATAATATTCTTTGCTAAAACGAGATCGAATAAGAACAGAAAAAAAGTTTAGTCGATTTTCAAAAAAAAGAAGCTTTCAAATACTTACTCCTTCAGTGCTGGCGGTGGAAGAATTTCCGTCTTTTCAAACCTTTCAGTTTTCAAATCAGCTACGATAACACGAACCCTTGGGTTGGGACGGGCAACCTTGAAAAACGAAAATTCAGTGTTAGAAGTCTTTTACAAGAACTTAAACTTCAAGTGGAGCAAAATCGTGCTCGAAGTTAGCAAAGACAATAAATCAGAGATTCCAGTTTCATCTTTACTATTGACGAGTTTTTAATCTAAAAATTCTTGAAGCTTGAATTGGAACAATTTCATCGACACCATTTCATTGGAAAATATTGCTGTTAAACTAGGTTTACTATCAATTATGGGTTAGACCCTTTTCCATAAAAACCATGATTCTTTTGAAAAATAGAGTAAAAGAGTTTTCTTTTCATTGAAACACTGAGTAAATCATGTTAATCTTTGCAATAATTTATCCTTAACCAGCAGAACTTGGTTAGATTAATGAGTTTTTCATAACAAAGTTTATTCTTCAACATTTTCTTTCAATTGTGAGCTACTCAATGAAAGTTTGTTTTTGTTTCCTTCTTTTCTCTTCTCTAATAGTTCTAGCTTCTGAATCACTTTTTCCTTTCTTTGCCTCTTCCTTCATCTTCTTACTCTGCACTTGGAGTATTTATTATCGAGTGAAAACCAAATGATGTTATAATGTTTTATGCTTTTTTTGCTGTTCGACTAATCATAAAGCTTAATAGACAATTGAATGGATTGATTGACTGTGAATAGCAAAAGTTAAAATGAAACCATCAACAGGATAAAATATTATCGTTGGTGTGAGTTCAACTTGAAAGGTAAACTTGGCTTGTTCCTTTGTTGGTTATTGTTGGATATTGTTGGTGAAAAGAGAGAATGGAAAATAGCTCATTCTACTTGATAATATACTTGACTGAATAATATTTAATAGATTCTCAACTTTTCTCTTTACATTAAAAAAACTTCTCCCAACTTTATTGTTCAATCAAATTGCAAGTCGAAATAGTCTCATTAAAACTGTTTAATGGTTAATTGGTAAGAATTACTTTCTTTGCCTTTTCAACTCTTTCCATACTAAGCAAGAAGACACATTTGTTTGCACACTTTTTCACATTGAAACAAATATTTAAATTTCGAGTTTCAAAGTTGAGTTTACTTTCATTCCACTGATAAGTGTTCATTATCATTTAATTATAAGGTAATTTACTTTTTCTGTAAATATTTAAAGCTTCACAAACCAAATAATTGATTGAACTTTTTTGCTCAAGGTAAATCTGATGTTCAATAGTCTCATTTTGACATGTTCATTTGAAAAGCTCAAGCTCAAGTATTGAATTGTTTAAATGTTTAAATTGAATTTTAGTAACGATTTGTGAAAGTTTCAATGAAACGCAATCCACAGAAAATTGCAAAACTATTTTTCCCAGAATCTCTCAATTAATCATTCACAAACTTTTCTTTCGCGGCTGTATTAAAATATTCATTAGATTTCATTTGATCCTCAAAGTTTTGTGGTTGTATCATCAGTTAGACTTACCCTTGGATATCGTATTCCTTGGATTTTAGGGAAAAATTCATTGTAAGAAGTCAATTCAATGGTATCAACGTTTCGATCATCAAAATTTATAAAAGCCAATCTTGAACCATCAGGTGCCCAGTAGATTGCATTACTATCGGACAATATTTCCTCCTCGTAAAGCCAATCAGGTATTCCGTTGTAAATCAACGATTCATATCCATCCACAGACAACTGGACATCCTTACCATCAACCGATTCCCGGTAAAACACATTATTGTTGTAAACATAAACAAGTTGACTGCCTTTTGGTCCCCAAGCAGCATATTGCAACCTAATGTCGGGTTGCTTAGGTAGTGGTGTTAGAGGAAACAACTCCCTGTTTGCGTGAAAAAGTTAAGAGAAACAACAATGAAAGATTAATGACGATAAATTGAAACATAAACAGTTGAACCTTTAATAATGTATTCAGAATACTTACTCATCACTAATTCTGTATAATTTAAACTTTGCTGTGTAAGTGTGACGAAAATTCTGCAAATTGAAAGAGTCGAGTGAATTAGTTTTTTTTCAATAAAAATGCAAATTCAATGAAAGTCTAAAAATACTTGCCTTCATTATTTCTTGTTTAACTAATAAATACTTGTGATCAGCTGAGATGGTAAAATCTTGAATACTGTGAATATGCTGCATGATGAATGATGAATTTCATGATTTATTGATAAAGACATGGAAAGAAAAGATGAAAAGGTAAAAACAAGTGTCAATAATGGTTATAAACTGTAGATGTACAATGATTATGATCAATATAAATATTAGAATAGATTATTTCATTGTTGGCTGAATAATGATTTTTGTTGATAAAAGGTACAAAATTGTATGTAAAGAGTACAATCTTCATCTTTACTCTTCTTTTTTTTCTCTTTGATATTTACGTTGTTCGACGAGTGATTCCACTAATAACACAAATCCCATGCCAACTAATGGAAAAGTAATAACATGAAGATGATCATTATTTTTGCTGTTTCTCTCAACAAATATTTTCTTCCATGATAAACATGATGAATGAAGTGAATAAAAACTTTTGTTTTTATCCCATTGTTTGCCCGTCAAATAAAAGGTAAACATTTCACTTTACAAAAAAAAAGACTTGACCCTTCAAGGTTTACCCATCAAATGTAACAGACAATTGGATGATGAAGAGAAGGCGAATAAATGACTTTTTTTTCTTCCTTCACTCAACGTTTTTCCTTCCACTCAATTTGCATGTCGTTGCCTTTCACCAATATTTACTCCTTGCAGTTCATGTCTAATCTTGTCAACTTGTCAAACTTGTTTTATCTGGCAAAAATTAAATTTCAATTTTCGATTCAATCTGATTCAATTTCGATGCTTCTTTTTTCATGAATTTTTCAAGCTTTTCTTTTTTTGTGATTCTTTACTTTTTAAGTATTGATGGTTAATTGATTGTGATTAAGATTTGTGGTTACTTCCGGTTCATCATTTAATTTCTAATGAGATTTAGTTGATTCAGAGTTTTGCATAATTGAAAGAGAAAATTCAGGGAAAGATCACACCTTTTCCATGCAAATTTGGTGGAAATGTTGAAAAATTGATTCTGCACATGATAATGGAATTGAACTTTGCTTGGATCAACTCATGGATAAACATGGTTCAACTTGATTAACATTTTTTTTCTCTCTCTCTCTCTCTCTCTCTCTCTTTCAAGCTTGAGAATGAGTTTACATTTGAAAAATGTTTTTGCATCAATTTTGGTTTAGGATGGGTCAAGATTGGTCATCAAGATTGGTGAAAATGGTGATTGGGAAGAATGTGTGTTTTCTGGAGGAAATGAAATGAGAAGAAGAAGCAACTTACAAAAAGCGATGCTGGGACAAGGATTTTTCGTGTCGACGTGTTTTGATAAATGTCCCAGATAACAAGGTTGTCCTCTTCATCTTTAAATATTAGCTGGTTATTTGTGAGCCAAGAACCGTTAAATAGGCGCGGATAAAAGGCCCCGTTGATAAAATCATTCAGGTCAATTTCATCTTTTTTTGTTCTCTTTTTAAGGTTAACTGTATCAAACAGAAATGAAAAAAAAACAAGTGAAACAACGAAAGAAAAATTAGAAAATCAAGATTATTAAGATAACCAAATGATATTGTGAATAAGGTGAGTGCTATTAAAAGGTAATGTGTTAAAGATCAGTGTTTTTAAATGTTATTCAATTTATTTTGATTGCGAAAAGCTGGCCAATTGATGCATTCATTTAATGCAGCTGTTTTGCAACTTATTTCGTTGATTTTTGAATCCTATTAGATGGTAATCTTTTGAGAGTAAGTCTGTATTGGCCTGTTCATTAGTGCTTGAAATGGGCTTGATTTGAACTTGGACTTGATCTTCTTTAGAAAGGAAAGTAACTGAGGAAACGACACCGACTTGAATGAGACAAATTTCACTTGTTGAAGCCCATAAATGTATTTCTCACGTCAACTCAAGCTCTATCGAATGAAAAAGTCTTATTCAAATCGGCTCGAAGTTTACTTTCCCTCTACAAGAGATAAAGGGACAAATTGTTTAGTGACCCTTGATCATATAACAATTTGATCACACACCACTCTTTACCTACTTTTGCTAATAATCATTTTTGTTTCCCTCAAACCAATTCGAAATTATTAGATTGTCCCTTTAAATACAGATGTAACGGACGTTTTAATCCTTTCGCATGTTTACAGTCATAACTGTGGTTATAATAATGGTTGAGCCAGAACCAAGATTTGCACCATGAGCTTCCACGGATTGAAAAACAATAAATTGCAACTCTCAAGGTCACTCCGTTATTTGACCTCTAAATGACATTTGATGTTCCCTTCCTGAGAGTGCCTACCTTTTTCGATTAGTTGGCGTTAAATATTGATAACTCATGTTGGTCAAAAGATATGAGTTTTTTTTGTACAGTTTAGTTAATCAATTTTTTCTGAGAAAGATTAGTTTATCTTTCCAACGGTATAAGTTATAAACAAAACAAAAACTGTTTCGCTTCAAAGAGTTTAGCTTAATAAATCTACTCAGTAATTCCAATATTATCAAACATTCACTGTGATATCACTGGTTCAGATCCAACTTCTAACTAATCCATAAAGTGCTCTAGCGTTTCTTATTCAAATAAACTGCCTTGATTTGAGGTTAAAGCTAAGAGGTTAAGACATTAAGGTTGGTGATTATCCTTAAAGAGTCTGATCTACGGTAAATATCAAGCATCTGCTGAATGTGGTTTCTTTTACGGAACTCTAACAGAATCTCAATCACCTTTTCACCTCGAATTTTCCTCTCTCTTATATGTATTACAATTTGACCAATTTAATATCTATATTTACACAAGTTTGTTCAATTTTGCATTGAACAATTTATCCAAATCAATCCATTAAATAGCTAAGTGTTATCAAACATATTGATTTTGATATTGAACTTTTCAGCCTTTACTCTTTTCCTTTGTACCATTACCATTGAACAAGCACATTTCAACTGCTTGAATGAACTTTGATTGAACTTTTCATTTCTTTCCCTACCTTTAAACATTTCTTTCTCTCCCAATGATATTAAATACATTTGTAAACAAATCTTTTACTGTTACCAGCACTTTCCATGGTGCTTGCTAATGATGACTAGTTTCAATGCACACAACGGTTAATGTTCATCGCCAAATGAAATCATAATCATGAAAAGCAACAATGCTAATCATCTTTTAAACGGTATGATTGATTAACAATTGATGAAAAAAGCAAATAAGGAAGACCATGAAACTTGAATGTTTATCATTACAAATGCAAACCTGAATTGAACAAGATTGTAAATTGGATTCAATTTACATTTTCAATCAGATAAATTCAACAGCAAATCAAGCATCAGCATGAAACCTCATGGAATGTTCAATTAATGAAAATTTAAGTTAATTAGTTGCCTATAGAATTACCTTTAAACATTCATTAGCAAGGCACTAATAATGCATATAAAATTATTAACTGATTGTTCACTTGAAACTTTAAATTTCTGTTCTTCTTTTCAATATCATTCAAGATCAAATAAGGTTCAATAGCCTGAAGAGTGTAAATTGATTCCTTACATTTCCGTTTAAATAATGATGCTTATTGTTAATTTTAACTGCTACTCAATTCAAGTTGAAAGACTTTATTCAATTAGTTTATTGATGATCAATATGATATCAACAGTTTCCTGAAATTTAACCCTTTCTTGCCATTTAATTAACTGCTGTAAACTTTTCTTTTTTTGCAAATTTCTTCTAATTAATTGAATCAAAAGGGAAACTTGGGCGATTCCAAATGATTCAAAATGGAAAAAGTTGCAAGAATTGGTTTTGCTTCAACTCGACGGGAAACTTTATCAGGGAAGTTTCATAGAATTTCATGGTAAATGATGAAATTTATGTTTATTAGCGTGAGAATCATAAAGCTGTCAATTGGCGAAACTCAACATTGAATGAACTCTATTCGTTTGCATTAGTTTCTAATCAATTTTACAGTTTTTCCAGTTAATGTTTACTTTCATTTACGAGTTTTTTCACTTTTAATCTTTTTGTTGCAATGTTTTATTGAATTTGTTACATTGATATTAATGACAAGAATTGCAAATTTCAAAATTTTCATTCATTTATTGGCTAACTTGAAATGCTTTTGAAACAATCGATCTATTAACAGTAACAATAATTGAAAGGTATTTAACGGTTAACGGAAAGTTGTGATCAATAGAAAGTCAATTTTTTCATTCTACTTGTTGATTACTCAAACAGGTAATGATTTTCACAGTTGACAGTAAGAGTTGTAGCTGAATTGATCAATTAGGAATTTTGACTGAATAATTAAGCATTGTTTTAATGAGAAAAAGTTGATGATGAAAAGATTGGCTGAAAATATTGTTTTTGGTTAACACTTTTTATTGCTTCCAATGAGTGAAAGCAAAAGCTGGATTCAACTTTGAAACTGGAAACTGCATAAACATCAAATCTTTGATTTTCATTCAACACTTATTTATAAATGAAATTGAAATGTTTGCACAAAAAAAACAAAAGTTAATTGGTAAACTCACTTATTTCTGGACTGAGAAGGAAGACGGCAATTGCTATGATACCACAGATGACCAGAATAACCAGAAAAGCGATTCCAATTCCTCTCCAGTTACGACCATCGCCTTCAACAACATTGGCCAATTCCTTGTTTGTTTTAATGGACATTGTTGAATTTTTATGGTAAAAGTTGCAATCAAATTGTAACCCAAATTTGAACCAAAAAACCAATGAATAAATTCACAGTCGACAATAAAAGTTGGTCGATGAAACAAATGTAGTCAAATAAATCCCAAAATGATGCGTGTAAAAAGAATGAGAAAAGTGAGAAAAACGTCAATTAATCCATATGGAAATTCATGTTGAGACAACAATCATGGTGCACCAGAAAAGAATAATTTTCCAAGATGAAATTTTTACTGTTGACCAGAAAAGAAAAAGTTTACTCGGAAGACGGAAATGAAAGAGTCACTAGTTGTGTCCATACCAAAAGGATTACTGAAAATACCACAACAACAGACACTTAAACTGGGTAAGTTTAGTGTTGAGTTAATGGTACTGACCGTTGTTGGTGAGAAGTTTAACAACAACTGTTGTAAAGCCAAAAGTCAACAGCAAACTAACGGACTAACTTGGCTTTTTTCAAACTCAACGTAAAAATGAAAAAACAAGTTTTCTCTCTTTCACCCTTTTCTCTCTCCCTCTTTTCTCTCTCTAGCTCTTTCTTACCTGTCTTTCGTCTGTACCTTTATCTGTCTGACTATTAATCTTTTTACCTGCATTCAACTTTCCCCACTTGTTACTCTCTCCGGCTTTTGCTTTTCTCTTTTCTTCGATTCTTCCTTTATTCTTAGAAACATGAAACGATCATGAAACAAGTCATCATACGACAATTGATTCTTGTACTGTCGACCAAATCAGCAACAGATAACAAGAAAATTTCACCTTTCAAAGAATGGAAAATTTTCCGAACAAGAAAAAAGTGAAAAATCATTCTTTTCCTGGCAAATCAACACTTTTTCATCTGACAACAAATTTTGGCAAAAAATGAATGAAATGATTTCCGTAATTTGGCATGAACTAGAAATGGAAAAATCATCATTTGTTCAATTCATGGAAATTGATTGTTCGCTTTCGAGTGAGAAAATGTTTGAAACAATTGAGCTTTTCTTTTCCAATTTCAATTACATGCTGAGGTTTATCAAATTAGTAAATGATGATGAAACAATCTAATGACCATCTTAATGCTTTCTCACATTTCTGCCTGAAATCAGTTCAAAAGAAGAAGCAAAAGTTCAATATCAATGAGGAGAGAAAAAAAGGCAACTTGACCCTTGCCTTAAGCGTGCCAGTTTATCGTTTCCATTTTGATTTAAATTTAGCTTTTCTTTTTAACATCATCTTCATCTTCATCTTTAAGCTGAAACATTCAATTCAATCAATAATCTTTTCAATTAGTTTCTTTTTCTTTCCTTTTCAACTTTTCAATCAAAGAATAAAAATGTTTCAACTTTTTTTTGTCCAACCCAATCTGATCATAAAAAAATCTAATCATTTCAAAACTTATTGACATTCATGGATCATCCATGAATCCAGGTTTTCATGATTATCAAGTAAAAATTGAATCCATCATTGGAAGAGCAAAGGAAATGAAAGAGAAAAGAAAGTTTTTCTCAAAAAGAAAGAAACTTTTTTTCTCTTCCATCATCATCTTTTGCTTTCAATTCAGGGGATAAAATTAGAGTAAAGATGGCAATGTTGGAACGTGAAAATTATATTAAAATGGTTTGACCTGAAATTTTTAAAATTGAATTATATTTGTAGTAATAAGAAGAGGAATGAAAAATTGATTAAATTTGTTGAAAGAAAAAGTCAAAGTCGATTCATGGTCAAATCACGATCAAGTCGAGTCAATTTATATCAACAATTGATCATGTTTTAGTGATTGAAATCAATTAAAAAGTAAAGAGAAAAATGTCAAGTTTGAAAATGAAAAACTCACCGGATTCGAATTTGAATTTCTAAAAGTTTTGTAAATGAACGGGTTCAATCGATGCATTTATAACAAGAATGTAAATCCATAAAAAGGGCAGAAATGGTTCAGTTTGGGAAAAGTTTGAAAACAAAAAAAAATTTGAGCAAACTTGAACAAAACGGTAAAACTGTAAATCTAATGAAAGGTGAAATTGCTGGTTAAAGATGAATCAAAATGTGATGAACAAAAGATGGGAGAAAAAGTTTATCATGAAAAATGATCATGAAAAGAGTAATAAGTTTAATAGACAATTGAAACGTTCAACAGCACAATGGATTGACAAGGAGCGTGTAAAATTGTTGATGAATGTTTATTTTAAGGAAGCGATTTTACTCTTTCCAGAGCAACTAATCAAGTTGTATAGCGAAATTGAATTCACTGAATTCGCTGATTGTATCACTAATCTGATTTCTTGATAATCATTTCAAGATTTTTTCTTGAGATCTTTTTCATAGAACAAAAAGCACTACAAGAAAATAGAGAAAATGAAAAGCTAATGTGCAAAGGATTGAAGCTGTTTTGTGGTTCAATCGGGTTGAGTTTGTTCTTGGGATTGTTTGGTTTCTTGCAATCCTAATTGAATGTTGACCCGAGTTGAGTTTAATTCATTAATTGTTGCTATTGTTGGCTAACAGAGTTGACCAGTTGTTGGTGACAATATCGTTGGGAATCGTTGGAAGAAACATTTTGCTTTTTCGTTTACCATTCGATTTGCTTTTAATGAAGTAGATTAAAGAGTAATTATAGTCATTATCATTTTTGCATGTGCAAGCATTCCAAGAAAGATGAGCAGAGAAAATCAATGTACAAGTTTTCCTGTTCTTCTTTTTCTGTCCTTCTGTTTCTTTCCAATTATTATTAGTGTTTTCATTGTCTTTTTCCAGATAGATTAATCAATAAACACATAAACACCAATTGGAAAAGCTTTTTTCTTCTCTTATTTTGACATCAAACATGGTTAGTCATAAATCATTACCACATTGAACATTTTCATGTTTACTTGCACAAGATGATTACATGTTTTCAACAATTAGATATTTCAACTTCCATTGTTGAGTATCAAAGGGGAATGCAAAAGACAATAGAGTAAAAAAGTGTGAATAAAAAAATAGTGATGTAATGAAATAAACATTTATAAATGAAAACAACCTTTCATTTGACAAGTTCATTGAAGCATCTTTCAAAGCTGACGTTCACACTGAGTTTTACAAAAAGACTTGAACCTGTGTAAATTTGAATCGACTTATTCAGTCAGTTAATGAACTCTTGATTTCCACTTTTAAAATATTTATATTCATGAGTTTTGTGAAAAAAAATTTCATCAAATTTTCTTGCTTCACTTTCTAGTCACACAAGACTCCGTTAAAGAGGCCATCTAGATGACTATTTTGATCCCAACAAGGCTCGCTCTTTAGGTTGAGGTTAAACTCATGTTTGGCTGGGAATTTTTTTCAAAAATCTTTTTGTTGTTAATTCTCATTAATTGACATGAACATGTTTGACTCGATTTCATCAACTTTTCTTGCCTCACTTTCTAGTCACCCAAGGCCCCGTTAAAGAGCCCATCTAGATGACTATTTTGATGCCAACAAGGCTCACTCTTTAGGTTAAGGTTAAGCTTATGTTCGGGCTAGAATTTTTTTGGAAAAACTTTTTGTTTTTAAATTCTCATTGAGTGCCAACATGAACGTGTTTGACTCGATTAATAGCTGTTATAAATTTCAATGATAACCTACAAATAAACTGAATATTTGCACCCTATTTAATTAAAGTTTACATGTATATTAATTAATGGGTCCATCTGATGGTAGCGCTTGATTGAACATTCAACTTTTTCTTCACTTGATTAGTTAGTTTCTCACCAAAAATTTTATGTTTTTTTTCTCTTCACTTTTGCAGTTTTTTAACAAGTTTTAATGTTTATTATTTATTACATCTATTTAAAAGTGGCAAATCTTCATTTAGGATTAAACTCTTTTTTTCTCCACTCTCATGTAAACCCTGTCTGATTAATGAAAATCAATCAGATTTGTAGGGCAACAGAATCGGGACTGGCAACAACCATGATAAGGGTTTGTTGAAATTATTTCAATGAAACTATTCAGTGTTTTTGGCCTAAATCATTTTCACCTTTTCTCTTTTCTCTTTGAGTTGCGAAAAATTTGGATTCCCATCATTTCATAGCACATGGTGAAATCGAGCAAATTGAGCATTCAACAACTAGACTCTGTTTAACCATGTGAAACATATTACTAACTTGAAAAGTAATTATTGAAATAAATGAATGAAAGCAAAATTGATGAATATGAATATTAGCAGAATGTTTATCTGATAGTGAAAGCACACAAAACTCTGAATATCCACATGCAAATAAACCCTTTTTTCGCCTAATGTTTAATCTTTTGATAAATTTTTATATTAGTTTAGACTTTAGAGATATCATTTGAATTGGGTTAAAGTTTATTTGCATTAATTACTGATTGAAAAAGAAAACAAGATTAATTAATGACACTGAGAAACTAATGGAATTACATGAGCATGAAATTGAAAAATTTGCTTCTTTAATTCATTAATTCCAAAACAAATTGTTCCATCATAAATCAAGGTTAATCAGTTTTGATTGAGTCGAGTAAATAAGAACGAGTTTAAGAAGAAAGAAAAAGAAACTTGAAATGATAAAAATAAAAGGAGAACGAATTTGAACTTGGAACAAGAAACATCACAAGATGAATAAATTCATCCCTAAAGGATAATCAAACATCTAATGTAAATTGAAATAATAATTGGAAGCAATAAAGTTGTAAACTGATGAACACAAATCTGATTCAAAGTTTGCTGTTCTGTTGTTTTCAAATTAAATGTTTAACCTTTGAGGTTGCAGAATAGAGAATGGAAAGAAATCTGAATCCTTTTCGCTAAGACAATTGAATGATTGGAAAATGATTTTTTAAGAAAACTTGCATGAATCAGCTTGGAATCAGCAAAATGAGCTGAAAACGCAGCAAAATGAAAAAGCCTGAAGCACTTTTGCAACAGCAGGCGGATTCTTGTCAATTGGAGAAGCAAAAATTTACAAAAAATTGTATCAACCAATTTAGACAATTCATGATTG